TGGTGGGCGGTCCGTACGGCGTGTGCACTGTGCTGCTGGTGCTGGTCTACAGGGGGCAGCGTGACACAGGTAACCCACAGTCTGAGCTGCTCTCACCTCAACTCCACAATGAGCCTCATTCAGGAATCTTTTCATTCAATTATTATTTCATCACTTCCACTTTAAGAAGCTGCTGAGAGACTCTGCTCCAGATTCACAAAACCTTCTCACTCATCCAAATTCCTTCTTAAGTCACAGTTGCACCGAATTCACCAACACCTACGAACAAACACGTCCACCATCATTTACACTGAATTTACAAAGAAAATGAACCTGTTTTTGGTTCGAAACGTCCTGAACTTCCAAATATGGTCAATATGGGTTTGGTGTCATGACACGTGAAAGTGAGAGAAGAGAACGAGGAGGAGGTCAGGAGGAGGTCAGGAGGAGGTCAGGAGGAGGTCAGGAGGAGGTCAGGAGGAGGTCAGGAGGAGGAGGTCAGGAGGGTCACTTCAGTCTGGAGAAAGTCTGTTAGACTGAGGAGACACAGGTTGTAGAAAACAGCTCCTAAATGTTCTTGGATCACACAGTCACATGTTTCTAGGAAATAATTGAAGGAAATATATCACTTACAATCATGGAGGAATTAGAATTTTCTGTTGCTTTGTCAGAGTCATAATTTTCTAAAACAGTATCATTTTTGTTCTTGTGAGTCCTGAGTGTTCGGAGGATTTGTTCTTCCAGAAGAACATTTTCAGTTAAGACAAAGTTTTATAAATGTCAAAAATGTTCATGAGAAGGACTTAAGTACAAATTTGTTTGTAAAAATGTTTGATGAATCAGGCCCAATGAGCCCATGTTGAATGGTGTTTAGCACACGTCTTCTCCTTGTGCCTGTTATTGAGCAACGCACTGGGACATGTCCATGTTTGTGTGAGCAGACTGAGCTCCAGTGGAGTTTGACACAGACACAGGTGTGGGGCGTCTGTAGGGGGCAGTGTGGAGCAGAGAGGGGCTTTGGGAGGGCATCTGAACACGACCCCGCTCCGAGCCCATCACGTGTCCCGACTCTGTCCGCAGGAAGTCGGCGCCTCGTTTCCGCGGAGACGGGCCGGCGGGAGGAGGAGGAGGAGTACGATGACGTCGCCGCTGAGGTCACCACCGAGCACCGCTTCTGAGCCAATCACAGCTCTGCTTTCAGCTTTCAGGATGTGACGTTTCAATTTGAAACCAAAAATAGATTTGTGTCAAATATCATGTTTTTATGACTCACTTTATTTGGAAGGTTTTCAATTGTTTCCACAGATTTGAGCCAAATGTGAAGCCAAATAAATGTGCTGTGTACTGTCTATGTCTGATTATAAAGGCTTTTATTTAGTGTCAGGAAGTGCACTGTTAGCATGCTGACTGTCTGCTCTGGAGTCAATAAAATCCCTCCTGTTTGAAACTGAGCTGCGTCGTGTTTCTGCACCAGGACGATTCTCAGAGCGTTTGGAGTTTTGCAGATGGGTTTGTTCATATGAAATCAGATGTTTTCAACGAATCTCCCCCATGAAACATCTCAGATTTGGCTGAAAAAATGTCTAAAAATTTCTAAAATCACCAAATGAAAGAATCTTACATTTTAGCTCAGTCCCTTGAGTCGTTCCTGAGTTTTGACTCGTTGAAATTTTGGGGCCTTGTTCACTTTTACTGAAGCCTTAATTTATAATCATGTTTGAGACCAGAACTTTATAAAAATAGAACGAGGAAGATGAACATTTGTATGATTTTGACTCTAGACTCCAAACAAGGGGCCAAAAAGTTCACATTTGGTCTGTGTCCATATTTGAGACTCGACACCAGGGGGGTCCAAACTTTTTTCATCCAGGGCCACATATCTAAACGTGGACGAAGCAGAGGCCGATCGAGGGCCGTAGACTGATGCTCAGTACAGTGAAGAACTGAAATATGTGCATGTTTAATACGTTAGAAAGAGTCGTCGGTCTTTATTCATGCTCAAATCCTTCAAACCAAACAGTAAATATTCATTATTAGTTTTATCGAGGGAGAGTTTCAAAAAACCTGCAGTAAAAAAATCATTTTTAATTGATGCAAAGTCATTTGGGCCAATTCACTTTGAACTCTGAGGGCCAAGAAAAATTTGTCTGAGGGCCGCATTTGGCCCCCGGGCCATAGTTTGGACATGCCTGATCTACACCGTCCACGTGAAAACTCAGAAAAGTGTGAGATTTGTGTCAGAAATGTTCATTCTCTCAAATATTCAGGTTCAGTTAGTTTGTAAAGATCTGCTCTCCCCAAAAATCAAAAACAAAAAATTGAGCAGCAACTAAATGTGAGATTTCGGGGCCACAGCCAAACGCTTTAATAAAACACACAATATTTAACAACAGATTCAGAATCTGTGACCAAGAATCTACAATAAAACAAATGTTCATCTTCCTCGTTCTATTTTTATAAAGTTCTGGTCTCAAACATGATTATAAATTAAGGCTTCAGAAAAAGTGAACAAGGCCCCAAAATTTCAACGAGTCAAAACTCAGGAACGACTCAAGGGACTGAGCTAAAATGTAAGATTCTTTCATTTGGTGATTTTACAAATTTTTAGACATTTTTAGACCTGGTTTTAGTCCTGGTTTTAGACCTGGTTTTAGTCCTGGTTTTAGACCTGGTTTTAGACTGGTTTTAGTCCTGGTTTAGTCCTGGTTTAGTCCTGGTTTAGTTCTGGTTTAGACCTGGTTTTAGTCCTGGTTTAGTCCTGGTTTAGTTCTGGTTTAGTCCTGGTTTAGTTCTGGTTTAGTCCTGGTTTTAGTCCTGGTTTTAGACCTGGTTTTAGACCTGGTTTTAGACCTGGTTTAGTCCTGGTTTAGACCTGGTTTTAGTTCTGGTTTAGTTCTGGTTTAGACCTGGTTTAGACCTGGTTTAGACCTGGTTTAGTCCTGGTTTAGTCCTGGTTTAGTTCTGGTTTAGACCTGGTTTAGTCCTGGTTTAGTCCTGGTTTAGTCCTGGTTTAGTCCTGGTTTAGTCCTGGTTTAGTCCTGGTTTAGTCCTGGTTTAGTCCTGGTTTAGGGTTTAGACCTGGTTTAGACCTGGTTTAGTCCTGGTTTAGTCCTGGTTTAGTCCTGGTTTAGACCTGGTTTAGTCCTGGTTTAGTCCTGGTTTTAGTCCTGGTTTAGACCTGGTTTAGTCCTGGTTTAGAGTCCTGGTTTAGACCTGGTTTTAGTCCTGGTTTTAGTCCTGGTTTAGTCCTGGTTTAGTTCTGGTTTAGTCCTGGTTTAGACCTGGTTTAGTCCTGGTTTAGTCCTGGTTTAGTTCTGGTTTAGTCCTGGTTTAGTCCTGGTTTTAGTCCTGGTTTAGTCCTGGTTTAGTTTTGTTTAGTCCTGGTTTCCTGGTTTAGACCTGGTTTAGACCTGGTTTAGTCCTGGTTTAGTCCTGGTTTAGACCTGGTTTAGTAGTCCTGGTTTAGTCCTGGTTTAGTCCTGGTTTAGTTCCTGGTTTAGACCTGGTTTAGTTCTAGACCTGGTTTAGTCCTGGTTTAGTCCTGGTTTTAGTTCCTGGTTTAGGTTCCTGGTTTAGTCCTGGTTTAGTTCCCTGGTTTAGACCTGGTTTAGTCCTGGTTTAGTCCTGGTTTAGTCCTGGTTTAGACCTGGTTTAGTTCCTGGTTTTAGACCTGGTTTAGTTCCTGGTTTAGTCCTGGTTTAGTCCTGGTTTAGTCCTGGTTTAGACCTGGTTTAGTCCTGGTTTAGTCCTGGTTTAGTCCTGGTTTAGTCCTGGTTTAGTCCTGGTTTAGTCCTGGTTTAGTCCTGGTTTAGTCCTGGTTTAGATCTAGTTTAGTTTTATTTTCATCGCTGTATCGGTATCGAGTATCGAGTATCGAGTATCGGCTGTACTTGGTTTGGAGACTCACAAGTTGCTGGATCCATAATGAAAAGCAAATTCAGAATATTAATCCTAATTTGTGAAGTTTGTATAAATTCAGTTTGAAAAGTGTTTTTATTTTCGTCATAATGTTTGAAACTTTAAATCCTGAAATGTGTGAATCAGTGAAGCTCCAGAGAAGGATTAATATTCTGAACGTGAAGTGTTTACATGAACTTTTAATTTGGAATTCATTTTTATTCAGAATTATTATTTTTTTTTAAATTCAGAATTAAATTTTATTTATTTTTTTATTCAGAATTTATTTTTTTTATTCAGAATTAATTTTTTTTTTTTTAATTCAGAATTAAATTATTTTTTATTCAGAATTACATTTTTAAAAACTCAGAATTAATTAATTTTTTTCCATTCAGAATTAAATGTTTTTTTATTCAAAATTATTATTATTTTATTTAGAATTAAATTATTTTTTTGATTTTTTTTTTTTATTCAAAATTGTATTCTTTTTTTTATTCAGAATTATATATATATATATTTTTTTTAATTCAGAATATTTTTTTTTTTTATTCAGAATTATTTTTTTTAAATTCTGAATTAAATAATTTTTTTGATTCAGAATTAAAGCTCTCATGTAAACGTGGTGCTTGTTACTCACTGGAGACAGGAGTCTATCGTAACAGAAGACTAGACTGTGGGAGAATAAAAGCCGTTAGTCACAAACTAAACTCCACACACAGAACACACACAGTCCAGTCAAACGAAGCTCATCCAGGCCAGCGGCTACAGGAGCCAGTGGAGACTAAGGCTCATGTTAGAAAAAGAGATTTTTCACAACGGCTCAAGTGTCGAGCTGAACGTTTACGGAACGTCCAGTTTCTACGGCAAAATGTGTGTGTGTGTGTGTGTGTGTAAAAGTGTGTAAATGTGTGTAAGTGTGTAAATGTGTGTAAAAGTGTAAATGTGTGTGTAAATGTGTGTGCAAGTTTGTGTGGGTGTGTGTGTGTGTGTGTAAATGTGTGTGTAAATGTGTGTGTGTGTAAATGTGTGTGTGCGTGTAATTGTGTGTGTAAATGTAACACAAGCATTTACACACACACACACACATTTACACACACATTTACACACACTTTACACACACACACATTTACACACATTTACACACACATTCACACACACATTTACAAACCTACAGTGTGACACTTCTGAACGTTGTGAAAAAAGTTTATAGAATTTTTTTTTCTGATTTCTGGGCCAAAAGTTGAAATAAAAATCCCGTCAGGATCCTGGAGATCAGGTCAAATCTGAACGTTCACGACCAAAGTGAGGACCTGGGCAGCAGTTACAGAGAAACACAAACACCCGGTCCACATGTCCCCACGTTTCACTTCAGTTTGACTCGAGCCATCGTTTGCTCATCCACCAGAGGTCTAAAATGTTCCGTGTTGGGGCTTTACCTTCTGTCTGGAGGTCATCCAGGTCCTGATGGTGGGCACCAGGACGGAGCCGAGCAGGATCTGGGCGGGGTGGTAGATGAGGAGGGGGACGGAGATGATGGACAGGTGCTCGAAGCCCGCGAACACGATCTTCAACATGGGAATGCCTGAAAAAAACGACACGCCGGCGCTTCAGAGACCAAAGAAGTACTGAAGAGGAGAGTTTGAAGTATTTTAGAGGAGAGTTTGAAGTATTTTAGAGGAGAGTCTGTAGTATTTTAGAGGAGAGCTTGAAGTATTTTAGAGCAGAGTTTGAAGTATTTTAGAGGAGAGCTTGAAGTATTTTAGAGCAGAGTTTGAAGTATTTTAGAGGAGAGTTTGAATTATTTTAGAGTAGAGCTTGTAGTATTGTAGAGGAGAGCTTGTAGTATTTTAGAGGAGATTTAGAAGTATTTTATAGCAGATTTTGTAGTTTTTTAGAGCAGAGTTTGTAGTATTTTAGAGTAGAGTTGGTAGTATTTTAGAGGAGTATTTTAGAGCAGAGTTTGAAGTATTTTAGAGGAGTATTTTAGAGAAGAGTTTGAAGTATTTTAGAGCAGAGTTTGAAGTATTCTAGAGGGAAGTTTGCAGTATTTTAGAGGAGTATTTTAGAGGAGATTTTGAAGTATTTTATAGCAGATTTTGTAGTTTTTTAGAGCAGAGTTTGTAGTATTTTAGAGGAAAGCTTGTAGTATTTTAGAGGAGAGCTTGTAGTATTTTAGAGCAGAGTTTGTAGTATTTTAGAGGAGAGTCTGTAGTATTTTAGAGCAGAGTTTGAAGTATTTTAGAGCAGAGTTTGAAGTATTCTAGAGGGAAGTTTGCAGTATTTTAGAGGAGTATTTAGTATGTAGAGAGATTTTGAAGTTGTAGTATTTAGAAGTAAGTATTTTAGAGCAGAGTTTTAGAGCAGATTTAGTTTTTTAGAGGAGATTTTTTTTTAGCAGATAGTTTTTTAGAGCAGAGTTTGTAGTATTTTAGAGGAAAGCTTGTAGTATTTTAGAGGAGAGCTTTGTAGTATTTTTAGAGCAGAGTTTGTAGTATTTTAGAGGAGAGTTTGTAGTATTTTAGAGCAGAGTTTGAAGTATTTTAGAGCAGAGTTTGAAGTATTCTAGAGGGAAGTTTGCAGTATTTTAGAGGAGTATTTAGTATGTAGTTTTTTAGAGCAGAGTCTGTAGTATTTTAGAGCAGAGTTTGTAGTATTTTAGAGGAGAGTTTGTAGTATTTTAGAGGAGAGTTTGTAGTATTTTAGAGGAGAGTTTGTAGTATTTTAGAGCAGAGTTTGAAGTATTTTAGAGCAGAGTTTGAAGTATTCTAGAGGGAAGTTTGCAGTATTTTAGAGGAGTATTTTAGAGGAGATTTTGAAGTATTGTATAGCAGATTTTGTAGTTTTTTAGAGCAGAGTTTGTAGTATTTTAGAGGAGAGTTTGTAGTATTTTAGAGGAGAGTTTGTAGTATTTTAGAGGAGAGCTTGTAGTATTTTAGAGGAGAGTCTGTAGTATTTTAGAGGAGAGTTTGTAGTATTTTAGAGGAGAGCTTGAAGTATTTTAGAGGAGAGTCTGTAGTATTTTAGCACAGAGTTTGAAGTATTTTAGTGCAGAGTCTGTAGTATTTTAGAGCAGAGTTTGTAGTATTTTAGAGGAGAGCTTGTAGTATTTTAGAGGAGAGCTTGTAGTATTTTAGAGCAGAGTTTGAAGTATTTTAGAGGAGAGCTTGTAGTATTTTAGAGGAGAGTTGTAGTATTTTAGAGCAGTTTTAGTATTAGCGTACCTAGAGTGAGGGATTTGTGGGTGGAGCAGAAGACGATGGCGACTGTGTCTGCGGGACTGAAACTCGAGCTCGACCTGAGAAAAGAAAAAAAACAAACATGATTAGAGGAAAAACAGAGAGAGGACGGAAGAAAAGAGAGAGAGGACGGAAGAAAAGAGAGAGAGGACGGAAGAAAAGAGAGAGAGAGGAGGGAAGAAAAGGGAGAGAGGACGGAAGAAAAGAGAGAGAGGACGGAAGAAAAGAGAGAGAGGACGGAAGAAAAGAGAGAGAGGAGAGAGAGGACGGAAGAAAAGAGAGAGAGGACGGAAGAAAAGAGAGAGAGGACGGGAGAAAAGGAGAGGAGAGGAAGAGAAAAGAGAGAGAGAGGAGACGGAGAGAAGAGAGAGAGGAGGACGGGAGAGGA